AAGGACACAGATGGGCCGAGCCCGTGTCGCACTTGGGAGAGTGCGGCGCTGGGAGCTCAGCAGCGCTCCCACCGCGGGCTCGGATCCTATATAGGGATGACCAGTGCGTTCACAGCGCTCACTGGCTAAGCGCGGTGCAGCCGGTCTCAAAAAGGACAAAAAAAAAAAAAAGGACACAGATGAAGAGATGCGTGGGGTAAAGTATGGGAGAAGGGGTGCCGAGCTTCCATGCCCTCCCCCACTGCACCACCCTCCAGGAACCTCCACATATTCAGCTGTCCAGAAGCTCCCCAAACCCAGTACTTTGGGGTCTTTATGAAAGCTTCATTATGTTGGCATGACTGAAGCATGGACAACTGGTAGAAATGTGATTGGACAAAAAGGGTGTGATCTAACAGTAGCAGACTGGGTGGGGGAACCCACAAGTCCTGTCTGTTCAGGTTTTTCTCAGCCTTTCTGTGCAGTATTTCTTCCTCCCAGGTACAGGGTGGGAGTCCTTCTGGAATGGAGGTCTTATGACCTATACAATCAGATAAGGTAGGTCAGAGTATTTCTTTATGGTCGTCTCCAAGACAGAAAAGCATGGGGGGAAGGTTAGAACGAGCCAGGAACCGTGGGTGGAAACCAAAATACACATATCCTAATATCACAACCATACAGAGAGGCCATGTGGGTTGTTTATTTTATTTCCTCATTGTTTTTGTAGGGGTATATGACAGAGGAAAGAGGCCTGGGCCTGAGGTTTAGACAGACCTGTGTTCAGAATCCATAAGCTGGTGGCCTTGGGCAAGTCACTTTGTGCCTTAAGCTTCAGTTTCCTCATCTGTAAAATGAGGATCATGATGTTATAAAACTTCTGAGGCTGTTATGAAGATTAAATAAGAGCATGCTTGGAAAGCTTCTAGTTTAGTGCCCTGCACCTTCTATGTACTCCAAAAATTTTAGTTAATATTCCAATGCCATTACTGCGTGAGTGGTCTACCACGTGGGAGCTAGGCAGCTCAGACATAGGGTTGCTGATACGACATCACCTACTCAGCCAAGATTTGCTGTGCTCCCAGCAATGCACCAGGCTCCCTGTAGGCACTGGGGATGCTGCTATGAGCAAGACACCAAATGGTCCTGCTCTCATGGAGCCAAATATGCTGCAAATTCCATAAGGGATCTGAGAAAAGTAAGGAAAAAATTCACACGCATAATGCTTCTGGAGGATGTTCTGGGCTCTGGGGGAGTCTGAGATGAGTCTTCAGACCCTGGGGAGGGTCTGAGGGCTGGATACCTGTAGGGGAGGGTGTGAACTTCTGTTTCTTACTACAGTGGAAAGAAAAAGCACAGAATTTGGCAGCTGACAAGCCCGTGTCTCTGTTTTGCTTTGTCCTAGCATTACCTATGTGACTGCAGGCTGCTGCTTCTCCCCCTGGGCCCCAGTTTCAGAAATGCCGAGTGATGTCACCCTTCCCTGGGCTGTTTTGAGGATTAATTGTGGTACTTTCCATGAGAAAGCTCCAAAAGATGGCAGCCAAGAGAACCCTTGTTCTGGTTCCTGGCCTCCAAAAGACGGCAGCCAAGAGAACCCTTGTTCTGGTTCCTGGTATTTAACATCTCCATCCCCCGTACCCCCCAAACACACACATACACCCACCCGCACCCCTGTCCCTGGGATCTTTCCTTCCCTGGGAGAACGCTCCAAAAGATGGCAGCCAAGAGAACCCTTGTTCTGGTTCCTGGTATTTAACATCTCCATCCCCCGTACCCCACAAACACACACATACACCCACCCGCACCCCTGTCCCTGGGATCTTTCCTTCCCTGGGAGAACAAGCCTGAGGGCTCCTTTCCCTCCCTGGCCTCTCCGAGTCTGGCCCCATATTTTCACCTGCCTGATGACAGCCCATGGAGTGTGCTGATCACCTTCGTCTTGTGTTACCTGACTCCTCACCAGGTGGCCAGGTAGCAGGACAAGCAGCTGCCTCCCTCCTCAGCTTCCCCAAATGGAAGGCTGGCTGGACCCAGAAATGCAGCAGGAGCCCAAAGGAGAACAGGACACCAGGCAGTGTGGGAGGACGCTGGGCAAGGCGTGGGCAATATCACATTCTGGATATTATCATGCAGTCCCAAGTCCCACTGGCTTGGGTTTGAATCTTCATCTGCTTTGTGGCCCAGGGCAGGTGGCTTTACCTCTCTGAACCATGAGGATTCAAGGAGGTCATAAATAAAACTGTTGAGCACAGGGCCTGGTACACAATCAGTGCTCAATAAATGTGAGCCATGATTATGATTTAAGAAGGAGTATAGCAGATGGATCAAGAGCCAAACCACCCAGGTTCAAATCCCAGCTCTGCCACTTAACCAGGTATATAGACATAAGTAGGTCATGTAAATTCTCTGTGCCTAGGTTTCCTCAACTGAAAACGAGAGTGATAAAAGTCCCTTTCTCATAGGAATGGGAGAGAATTACATGAGGTAAGATACACAAATTTAAAATGCCTAGAACAGAACCTGGCACAAGGCAAGTGCCCCATAAACACTAATGATTGCTATTTCTATTTTCTAGCAGCACATCCTCACTTCCCTGGTCCCAACCAAGCCTTATTCTAGGCAGAGGGGTCTTCTGGAGGTTTCGGGGTGGGGTTGTAGAAGGAAAGCCTGGGGAGAAAAGAGAAGGAAAGGAGGTGTGTCCACAACACACCCACAGGCAGACTCTCCCATAAGTAAACACAGCCACATAAACACATGCTAACCACTGAACCCACTCAAATCCATACACAAACTCCCTCAGGACCAAGCCACTCCCATCCCATCCCACCCACTCAGAAACCTCATCCAGCCCCCACCCAGGTCCCAGTCAGGGCCAGATTTCTCCCATGTGTCATGCAGTGATTCTCCTCATAACTGGCTTCAGACTCAGCTGGCCTCACCCAGCTGTAATTACAGAGAGAGCTGAGGCTTCTGTGCACAGCTGTGACGTCAGCCTGAAGCTTCTAGCCTGATGAGCTCACCCCACATCAAGGCAGGGGGTGTCGGCAGGCAGTCACTCAGGACATGCCATGCTGTGGGGCCTTGGCCTTGTATTCTCAGTTGAGGAGGAAGGTGGGGGTCTCGATCAGTCGGCTCAGCACAGATCTGGGATTCAGAACAATCCAGGTTCCCACCCAGGTCCTGCCACCCATACCTGTGTCTGAGGGCCAAGGCTCTGCACCTCTGTTTTCTCACCTGCAAAGTGGGGGTGATGATAATAGTGACATTGTCATGAGGGTTTAATGCAATAATGTCTGCAACATGCTCACCACAGTGGCAGATACACAGGAAGCAGTAAATAGTGGAGATTGTTGTTCTCCATATTATTATTTTTAGCGAACTGCCTCATGCAAGCACTGCTTAATATCAAAACAATTTCTCAACCTATGACTCATTGAATTCCTTAACACCCCTGGCCTACCCCCACCCCGGGAAGAAGGCATGGCTGAGACCCTGAGGCCCACAGAGGGTAAATGGCATGCCCAAAGTTGCCCACCTGCTGGGGACAGATCAAAGATTGGAACCCAAACCCAAGCGGCCTTTTGGGTAAAGGAGGATTTGTAAATTCATTCTTCAAGCTGCATGGGAAGAGGAGGGAAATCTAGGAAATGAGTCCTTCCTGGGCTTTTGAGTTTCAGACTAGACATCCTGCCTGAGCATAGCACCTTTTAATAATTACCATTAGTAACAGTCATAATAATAACAGAAGCTACCATTCATTAACACTTCCTATGGATGTTTCCTTATCTGTAAAATGGGATAATACTAATACCTTAAACTCACAGGACTGTTGATGAGGATTAAAAGAGTTAATATTTGTAAAGCACTTAGAAGAAGGCCTGGCATATAGCAAGTGTTAGGTAATTGATAATTCAAACTTGAAGATATAAAAGTGCCAATCAGTCTGCTAAGTGCTGAATGCGAATGACCTCCTGTATTCCTCATGACACATTCATGAGTTGGTTACTATTATGTCCATTTTACAGGTGGGAAAACTGACAACTCATAGATGCCTGGGAATAATGTTATTGCTGACAGACTCTTTGCTTAACCAACCACTCCTAAATCTTCTCTTAGGACCCTCTGTGCATTTCCTTCTAAAATCCAGTTTTAGCAAGAACCCTAGTAAGTCAGTTTAGCAACTCTGTCTTCAATATCTGATCACCCTCAATATCTGATCAAGTTCCCCATCCTCCACCACTCTGGAGGTGATATCTGATCCCCCTTGTCTATCTTCAGCAAGAATCCTATTAGTTGGGTTTAGCCAGATTCCTTCCTGGTCCCGGGTGTTTCTTCTTAGTAACTTTCCATTCACTTACCCCTACCAGGCTCCTTGGATATAAATTCCCACTTGCCCATGCTGTATTCAAAGTTGAGCCCAATTTTTCTCCCCCACTGCAAAATCCCGTCGCAATGGTTCCTACACCTATTTGCTACAGACTCCTGCCCAGTAAAGTCTTCCTTACCATACTTTAACTACCATCATTTGAATGTATGTGTGTGTGTATATATATGTGTGTGTATATATATTCTTTACCATGCTCCTCAGAGGGCACTGAGGCTCTGAGAGCTTGGCCTGGATATAAGTGGGGAGGGAAATCCAACCCAGGGCCATCTACACTCAAATCCACTGGGCCCAGTCTCTCTCTTCCCCTTCTGCAGGTCCCCAGGGGGAAGGCAGGATGCGACATGCTCTGGGGAAGGTATTTCCAGAGGGTGACCTGAGCTCTCAGCCAGGCAGCAGTTATTAATAGCCGGGCCTTAGTGCCCTGCTTGGGGAGGACTGCTCCGGGAGGGAGCAGGAGGGCGGAGCTGAGCTGGCCAGGGGAGGAGAGAGTGTCCGTGCCCGTGTCCGGAGAGGCCGGCTGAACTTGGAAGACAACGGACAGCCCCTCCCAGCCCCCACGTCCAGCCCAGCTGTTCCCTCGGCGGATTCTCCTGGGCTGGGTCATCATCTCCGAATACTCCTGTGACAGGAGGCGCTTGCAAAACCCGCCTCCAGCCCCCAAGCAGCAAATAAATAGACGATCAGAAGAAGCCAGGAGAAGTTTCTAGGCGTGCGTCTCTGGTGTTTATTAAGCTCCTGGCTTCCCTGTAGACCTCCAAGGCTCTGGCTGCGAGCCTGGGCAGCCTGGGAGGACAGTGGCTTGCTGATCTCTGGTAAGGGGAGCGGAGAGTGACCTTTTGGGATTCTGCTGGACCTGCTGGGGGTCATCTCTGGTGGCTGGAGTGTCTTTGGGGGCTGGTACCCCGGCCTGGTTTGCACCACTGTCTTTGGCAGTGGATGGTTCTGCTTCTCCCCGACAGAAGACCAGCATTTTCTAAGGCTGAAGAATAAGCTTTGAAGGGCAGTCCACCCACATCATCTTGCTGTGTGACCTTGGGCAGGTGGCTCCTTATCTCTGAGCCTCTGTTTCCCCTCTGAGCTCAGCAGCCACCATGGCTGATGGTCAGATGCCTTTTTCTTGCCACTACCCCAGCCGCCTGCGCCGAGACCCCTTTCGGGACTCTCCCCTCTCCTCCCGCCTGCTGGACGATGGTTTTGGCATGGACCCCTTCCCTGACGACCTGACTGCCCCTTGGCCTGACTGGGCCCTGCCTCGTCTCTCCTCCGCCTGGCCAGGAACCCTGAGGTCTGGCATGGTGCCCCGGGGGCCAACTGCCACAGCCAGGTTTGGGGTACCTGCTGAAGGCAGGAGCCCCCCACCCTTCCCCGGGGAGCCCTGGAAAGTGTGCGTCAATGTGCACAGCTTCACACCAGAGGAGCTGACAGTCAAGACCAAGGATGGATATGTGGAGGTTTCCGGTAAGCCAGGGGCAGGAGGGAGAGAGAATCTGGGGGGGGAGGGGTACCTTGGTCATCACCAAGATGACTAGGAGGAAGCTGTGACAGCATGACACAGGTGACTTCAGGGCTCAGGAATGCAGCTTACAGAGCTATCTTTATGAAAAAGCTCTCCTCCCCGGCTCCCAGGAGAAATCTTAACCTGACTCAGCTTTTGGGAACTTTGGGTGCTATAACAATTGCAGGAAAATAGAAACCATGTTGGGTATTTTGACAGAAAGAATTTAACATAAAGATTAGGTTAAGCAGATATGGAAGGCATAAAGAGACAAAGAAGGGGATTTATGGCACCCCAGCATCACAAATAGGGTCTAGAAGGGAGAGTTTAATGCTGAGTAATGACAATATTAATAACCACAACAGGTCCCAAGTGAAAAACTTCCCCTTATCTCAGATAAGGAAACTGAGGCTTGCCAGTAATTATGATGATACTGATTGGGAACCTTGATTGAGTTCTTATCCCAAAAAATTCCTCACTCCATCTCTGAGTAGCAGGGGTATCTAGGCCCATTTTGCAGCTGAGGAAGCTGAGGACCCAGTGGGACTGGTTCAAGGTCATGCCATGAATCAGCAGCAAGACCTGAATAGAGTCTGGGCCTATCCACAGTTTTAAGCCCAGGGCTCTTGCCGCCACTTCCCGGCCTAGGTGAAGGAACACGCTCGGAAAAAGGAAAGAGGAGACAGGAAACTCAGCTCCAGTTAAGCAGGGCAGCAGAAAAGGCTTTCTTTTCCTTCCCTCCCAATTAATGCTCCATTAAAAAGAGTGTGTTCCTTGCAGAGGCCTGCCTTCCAGAAAATCAATAAAAGCCATTACACACACAGGCTGGGCAGGGACAAGTCCCATCAGTGTTCAGGGGAATTTCAAAGCCTCTCATGGCAGAATTATAAACAACAGAGCTCTAGCGGGTGTGGTGGGCCAGGAGACAAACTGGGGCCATGTGCCGGTGGGGGGAGGGGCAGTCAGCCAGGGCTCTCTGAGTTGGCTGGGGAGCCAGGCACGAGTTTGGAAACTGACTCCGCCACTAACCAGCAAGATGAGCAAATCACTTAACTTCTTGTGCTTCTGCTTCCTTATCAGGAAATTGGGGTTCAAATGGCTGCAGCATAAGGACTGTTGATTTAAATGGGGTGACGCTATAAAGTGGGTACATAATAGTACCCGGAGCACAAGGAGTCAGTATTGTTATTGCTGTTGCTGTTGTTCTAGTGACAGGCACATTGTAAGGCCCCAATAAATAATAAAAGACAGATGCTCTTTGAGACCTGGATTCAGATCATAGCACTATTCTTTATCAGCTGGATGGATAGGGACAAGAAAATCTGTTCACTGCTCTGAGCCTCAGTTTTCCCATCTGCAGAATGGGGATCATTATAATACCTATCCTGCAAAGCCGTAGGGAAGATTAAATATATGCAGACAATATATGATAATATATTCAGAGTGTCTGTAAAATAGAGCTAATAATAGTGCCTGCCTGGCAGTCTATAAACAGGGTGATTATTATCACAACTCCTCCTGTCTTTAATTAGTGTCCCAGAGACTTCCAGCTCTGGTCCGAGGGCCTCCCACTCCCTGTGGTCCCTTCAGGAGACCTTCTGTCCAACCTGGAGGACTTTTTCTCCATCGTCTCCTCAGCCCCAGGCTGAGGTCCCAGTTAAGTACCTTACTAATCTGGAGGCTTTGGATGACTCATGATGGTCCCTTCAGGAGACCTTCTGTCCAACCTGGAGGACTTTTTCTCCATCGTCTTTTGTAGGTGCTTCTTAACAGGTGGGGTCTGGCAGCCCCAGGCTGAGGTCCCAGTTAAGTACCTTACTAATCTGGAGGCTTTGGATGACTCATGGAGCCTCAGTTTTCACATCTGTAAAATGGAGTCATTAGGAGATTAAATAAGACAAAGACAAAGACTTTTACATGTGCTATTAGTGACCTCAGCTAAACAGAATCTAAATCACCTGGGAGCACATACAGGGGCTTTCATTAAAGAGGTTTTAAAAATAAGATTGATATCAGGGGCTCCATTTAAAAAGCAACTTTCAGGGAAAGTCAGAAGTCAGATCCAGTCTCCCATCCTAGACCATGTAACAGCAAAGCTATTCTTCCACAAGCACTTTGTGCTGGGCCTTGTGCTAAATGCCTACCCATGTTGGCTCATGGCTCCCCACTAGGACCTCCTAGGGAGTGTGAGGAGGTTTATTACTTCCCATTTTACTGATAAGAAAACCAAGACCCAGAGAAAATGACTGTCCTGTGATTACCTGCTTCTCCGTGGCAGTGTCTGATGGTTCTGAGTCAGGATGGCTGGATCGACATCTGACTGTGTGGCCCTGGGCAAATCCCACTGCCTTGGGGGCTCAGATTTACTGTTGGTCTTACCAACAGGTAGACTAGATCTGTATTTGCCAAGCAGTGTGCTTCAAGGTGTTACTAGGAATCCAGTGTTATTAGGAATCTGAGAAATGAGGGGAGGAGAGTTCAGAGTTTCAGAAGGTGCAAGATAAAACAAAATTGTATAAGGTATCCTCGCTGTAAGACCTCCAGAGCCTTTAATTCACTAATGTAGCTTATGAATCTCTGAGAGCTGGTTCTGTTGTATCTGACCATGTATAAGTGTCGGAAATGCTGGTCTGG